TGCCAATCACGCTCACTTTCAAATGCGAAGTGTTGATTCACTCTGTGAAGAGTGATAACCTGAGTGAGTTACACAACCGGAGGGGGAAAGGAGGGGTGGTGTGAGAGTCAGAGCAAAGAACTTGGCCTGTTGGTGCGAGATGTGTTGGTTGGTGTAATTGTTCTCGACATCTGCCCTGTTAATTATTGCCACAGAAAGGTAATCTCCAAAGATTATGCCAGCTGTCAGCGCTAACAAGCGAGCCACAAGGACATTGCTTCTTCCCCTTGTTCCCTAACAAAAGCTTTTTCCTCTCTGCCTTTGGGATAGATGAAGGGTCCCCACTGCACAAATGGGGACATGGCATTGAACTTGATGGAATCTTTCCTTTTCACTGCTGTACCTCATGAATGTGGAGACCGAACATTAGCCCTGCGGTAATTTAACCCTCATTCTGTTAACTCCTTAGCAATGAACATCACACTGACCCAGATCTCTTTTTTTAATACCAACAAACGATGGAAACAGACACCCCAAACCCTCTCACACGCTCGGAGAGCCTCAGGATGGCAGGTCTGTGTACAGCTATGGGTGCAAATAACAGATGGAGGTCATGTGACTGGAACCAAAACCACCTTTTTGTTTAATGTTAACAAAAACTGGTCGGTCTTTACTTGTAGTATTTCACAATGTTACTCTCTGAATCTATATGTTGCAACTTTTCCTTCAGAGGTTTTGTAATAGAGTTGTTTATTCTGTAAACAACAGGACACTTCCGAGGCATTGATGAGACTTCTGAGACACTCTTTCAGTGGGCACGACCTGTACCAGTCAGGAGTCTGGAAATGAACAAGAGGGCAGGTTAACAGGAGGAGAAAGAAATATGGAGTACACATGGAAACAAATTAACTTTCGGTCTCGCATCTTGAGCTAGAAGCTAGAGTTTCCCACCCAGACCTGCCACGGGGTCTGCAGTATTTTCATCTCCTCATATTAACCATGCTGTGTGTGAAACCGAAGCACTTAGCAAAATATAATTACTACTTTCATTTTTTGCGCCACTCATCTACACTCTTAAACACATCCTGGACCTGACAGAGGAAAAGTGCTTTCTTGGTGGATAAACCCTGATTCCCTGTGTCCTAGCATTAAAAGTAAAAGTAAAAGAAATCTCAATCAAAAAAAGGGAGCATTACTGGCTTGATAAAGACTCATAATAAATCTATTCATTATTAATCCATCATTGCTTTATGATGAACATTTCATGAGAAGTATGTGATTCTTCCACGTTTTTATCATTTACATCCGCATAATGCAAATAGGCCCAGTAATCATAGCCTTTAGTCCACATCTAGCTCTTGCCCTGAAGACAAGCACAGGTTTAATGAGGTGTCGACTTTAGCCCAAGAGTAGAACATTGTTTGGGATGTTTATTTATTTATGATTGTTTGTAGGGCAATCAGCTACTGATTAATTCCTTCAGACCAAGCTTGTTGAATATCCGAGATTAATGGCGGATTTGCTTTAATGTTATTTTTATTGGAAACGGAGGCTGTGCCTTCCTCCCTCATTCGGAGATGCTTGCAGCACTTGATTGATGTCAGCACCGACATCAACCCCCAGCTTTTTCTTTTAATTCCCCGCATAATAATTCTCCTCTTCTTCCTCCCAGGTTCTTTCAGTCGCTAGGATTCCAGTCTTTGTGGCTCGTTCAGAATGTCTTGTTAAAAATTAAAGTGATTGTATTCGCCTTTCTAATGCAAATGCTGTCCCACATGGCCCCGAATGCATATGAGGGCCAAAGACGAGCATGTGAGGTAGTAAGTGCGACTCAGTATAGTGACACACATCATGATAGAATAGTGATGAGACCAGTGTTAGTGCACCCCCATGCCCTGCAGTTTACCTGTCTCTCTCTCTGTCAGTCACACAGATGCAGCAGAGATCAGTGTAGGATGGCATAATTATACTACATCTTTCAAGCGCAGTCAGTTGATATGATGGATCATATATTGGAATATTTAATGAATGGGCTGTCCATGTACTCATAGTGTATATAAGAGTACAGTTTCAGAAAAAAAAAGTATTTATATTTCTAATTTAGCTACCTTGAAATAAAAACTAACAGCAGCCCAAATAAATATAGTCAGACTGCAATGCTAAAATCTATAATAATTAAAACTTTAGCATCATGCCATACCAGCATTGGTGTTCACACGAAATATAAAGTTCATTCCAAGCAGGTCAGCCTAGAAGAGGAAATTTTCGCTCACAGACTGTCTGACTCACATGCTGCGGAACTGCACATGGTCAGGAGTCAGGATATCTGTCCAGAAGTGTATGAAGTGTATGAACAATACACTTGGTAATCCGTCAGTAAACCTGGGGCAGAAGAGGCGCAAGAACTTTTGACACCGCATTGTTTTTTCTTACTCATATGTTGACAAATTCTGCCTCATGTGCTATAATTATTACTGCCTCCTGTGCTAGCGTTGGCTCACATGCAGACTCTGGCCAGTGGAATTGAAAATCCAGTAAAAGTGATTTATTGGAATATGCATGTGGAAATGTTCTGCCTCTGCAATGCTTCTGAAGATTTGTCATGGTGATGTGGGCTACTCGAATGTCATAGCACACTCCATTCCAGAAAACCTACTCTTTAAGGAGTGCAGTCTACTGCTTAAAGTATTAGTTAATTAAGGCTATGACAATTCACTGAACAAGCCCAGTTAAAAAGCCCACTTAAAAATCTTTTTTTTTTTTTTTTGCACGTTTCCCTTAACAATTAATTGAACACCTGCTGCATTAGTGTTATGCACTATATTATTCTAGATGCAATTTAAAAGGTTTGCTTGAAGCAGGGCACAAACACACACCTCTTAATGCACTCCTTCATACCTAGGGGCAATTTAGATTAGTCAATCCACAGGCATGAAGAACATCTTAGCTTAAATTTCCAAATAATTTACTTACTTTTTACTTTTCTTTGCAATCTATCATTTTACAGTCTTTCCATCTTTGCTAATGAATCTTTTCAGGTGGACATTAAGTGTCTATTGGTCAACTTTAAATCAAAGTGACCCTTAGCTAGAATTCTTCCTCCCCTATTAGTGATTGTCCTTAATACAGAGAGAACATCTCTGGTTTGAAGATCTTCGGATCTAAATACTGCTCCTAGAGCAAAGTGATCACCATACTTCCTGATCTAGCTAAGGGAATCAAAACAAAGAAAGTCATTTCGAAAGTAACGATTTCTTTTCCTCACCCAGAAACGAACACTGAGATTAATGATGTGCGAGCTTTCTGTCAAATAGAGAGAAGCAAAAGAGAAAGCAATAGCGAAGAGGTTTGGATTAATGCGAGCTTTTGTGGCCATGCTGGAGTGGCAGAAGGTGTTCATCCCTGCCTCTGTTGCTCTCCGTCTTCCCATTCTTTTCATGCCATCCCTCAGTTCACATGAATTATTTCACATTTACACCTTTTCCATAGGGAACATTGGTGTTTTCTGTTCTAGAGTAATTGTTTCTCTCTAAATTAATCTTTCTCCCTAGTAATAGTTACACCATAAAATAAAATGTGAAAATTGTGAATTCTGCTGTGAAATTTAAATGTCTACATCCAGCGCTAATGAAAGTGTTAATTGGGTGATGATATATCTTTGAAAAATTATACATCAGCAAAGGAAAATGGAGCCAGACACAAGCATTCGGTGTTAAACATATAATTTTCAGCAGATGCTTCTATATTGTATGAGTGTGAAGAAAAAAGCTAATATAATCATGCTTTACCCATCAGGCAAAATTAATATTAGACATTATAGCCAGGAAGACATAAACCTCAACATTAGCATTAGCTTTTAGCTTCTCTTTGCAATGTAACGATATAGGGTTTAATTTCTGGTATCCACATCAGATTATTTGCAGTTAACAAATGCCTTAAAAACAGATTGTTGTGGACTTTTATGGAACCAGGAACAACAGCAGTACCAATGATGTTAAGAAAAATACACAGAATGGTGTATTCTAACACAGACTGTCAATTCCTGAAGCCTATCAGTGACAGTCATGTCAGGTGATTACACAGAGCGAAACGCCCCCTGGATTTACTTTCCATTTGGGCCGATATTTTTCAGCCTTCTTCACTGACACATCTGTAACACATCGTCAGCAGTGATTGAGAAGGTGCATGTAAAATACAAATCAGACAGAACCATAATTGTAGTGTTTTTTGGTCTTGAACACAAGGGTTACAACTTACCTTGTCTGTTACCATGTTTGGTATTGAGAGGAACCACGGCACGAACCCAGTAGAGCATTATATATCTTTGCCTATACGTCTTTAAGTGTGTGTATAATAATTTGCCCCACGGCATTCCTAGTATGCTGTTGATGAAACCTTGTTATATAATACATTGATCAACAATAATAGTTTCATTGCCAAGCTATCAATAGGTATTAGATTTTAGCCCTCTCATCTAATATTACAACCAGCCATCACTGGTAACAAGTATCAACTAATGTGGGGGTTTCTTTGTCAGATTGGTTTCATCTTGGCAAGTGCTGTTGGATTTTCAGTGATTAATGCTTTGCTGGTGTGTGTATTTGCAGACACGTTGCTATGATTACTGAGGAAAAGAAAGTGACTTACGCTGTGGGGGCATTTTGCTGGTAGGGTTTGTGAAGGGATATCTTTAGGAGGAATGGTGTTCATCCCTACAGTACAGTTCCAGGGACCAGAAGCTCTTCTTGTGGCTTGCGTTTGCCCAACACTATACTATACACTTTATGTTAGTGTGTACTATACACTTTATGTCACTCATGTGTACACACTATGCCTGTGTGTGTAAGTGAAGTGTGTGACCAAGTCACAAGCTCAAACAGGAAACGTCTGTCCATATGCTGCAGTCATTGAAGGGTGTAGTAAAAGGTTGGGCTGGAGATTTGCCACTAAAAGGAAGCAGCTTTGTATAGTTTTCTTATTATACTAATCTATTTAAAGCTAATATATTCTAAATCCAGCGGGGCATGGTGGCTTAGTGGTTAGCGCTGTTGCCTCGCACCGCCAGAGTTGGGGGCTCAAATCCTACCTCCGCCCTGCCCTGTGTGCTTGGAGCTTGCATATTCTTCCCGTGCTGGGGGATTTCCTCCCCCAGTCTGTTGTAGGCTGCTTGGCATTTCCAAATTGTCCACAGTGTATGAATGTGTGTGTGATTGTGCCCTGCAATGGGTTGGCACCCTGTCCAGTGTGTCCCCTGCCTCATGCTCCAGGCTCCCCTGTGACCCGGTGTAGGATAATGGTACAGAGAATGGATGGTTATATACTTTCAAAGCTTTTTCTGCCTATAAAAACTGTATGGGATCTGGATATTTTTATGACATAGAGATTATGTAGTTAAAAATTGAGGTTAAAAATGATTAACATAAATATGTCTCTGTTATACTTGAAATATATGAAAAAATCAAACAGTAAATCTGAGGTTCTTTAATCTCTAATCTCACAAAAAATCTTTAAATAAGGGGTTTTATAGAGTAGAACACTGTGATCTGTGCCACTGTGTCATCTCTGCTTTTGTTCTTATTTCTTAATTCACAAAAGAAAATGTATTTGATTGAGTTCTGCAACATGCATTCTGTAAAACTGAAATGAAAGCATGAAAAAATTAATCCCTGGTCAAACTTTACCTTGTCATCTGTCAAAAAAAGATATATACTAATATATATATTTTTGTGATTTTGCCTTTATACACCACCACAGTGGATTTGAAATACAACAATCAAGATGTGATCAAAGTGTAGACAAAGTGTAGCTTTATTTTAAGAGGATCCACAAAAATATGGCATTTACCATTTAGAAATTATAGCCATTTTAAGCAAAGTACTTCCATTTGCAGGGGCTCAAAGGTATTTGGACAATTGACTGACAAGAAGTTAATTGAAAAGGTGCGGTCCATTCCCTCGTTACTTCAAGACAAATGAAGCAGATAAAAGGTCTGGAGTTGATATCAGGTATTGAGTTGGCATTTGGCAGCTGTTCGACTGGAGCTACCAATATGAAGTCCAAGGAGATCTCAATGCAAGTGAAGGAGGCCATCATTAGGCTGAAAAAACAACATAAATCTATAAGAGAGAAAGCAAAGACCTTAGATGTGGCCAAATCAACAGTTGGATACATTCTTAAAAAGAAAGAAAGCACCGGTGAGCTCAACAACATCGAAAGGCCTGGAAGACCACGGAAGACAACTAAAGTGGATGATCGCAGAATCCTTTCCTTGGTGAAGAAAAACCCCTTCACAACATCAACAGAAGTCAAGAATACTCTGGAGAAGGTAGGCGTATAATTGTCAAAATCTACAATCAAGAGATTTTGGTGCAAACCAGTGGTGACATTCAAGAACAGGAAAGCCAGATTAGACTTTGCCAGAAAACATCTAAAAAAGCCTCCCATGTTCTGGAATAAGATTCTTTGGACTGATGAAAGCAAGAGTAACTTGTACCAGAAAGATGGGAAGAGAAAAGTATGGCAAAAGAAAGGAACAGCTTATGAGCCAAAGTATACCACATCATGTGTCAAACATGGTGGAGGT